AAGCCCAACGCCTCGTACATGGACCACCAAGCTGAGATCCAGTGGTCGATGCGATCCGTGCTTATGGACTGGATGGTACAAGTACACAACCGATTCACGCTGCTTCCTGAGACTCTCTTCCTCGCCGTCAACTACGTGGATCGCTTCCTCTCATGCAAGGTCGTCTCATTGGGCAAGCTTCAACTCGTCGGTGCCACTGCTCTTTTCGTCGCTGCAAAGTACGAAGAGATCAATTGCCCATCTGTTCAGGAGATTGTCTACAGAGTAGATAGAGGCAAATGCAGTTGGAGGGGGGGGGGAGGGGGAGGGTCATTTGTAGCAGACGGGCGCACACCTGACAAATGTCCTATATTGATGACTGTGGCGATATACATACTACTAAACTTTAGGTACCGTCATGGAAAGGTGGGTCGTACCGCTTCAGACGATCTTTCAACCCATGCGCACAACCCGCACCACCGTCGCGTTTTTCACAGAGGGTGTGAATCAATTCTGAGCCCACAGGCGATCCTATCTCTGGCAAAAATAAAAGGCCCACCGAGCAAGTTCGTGGCATTGTGCGTTGCACGATGAGCCCTCCAATAGGCGCTGGCAACAGCAACTGCCAACGAAGACTCCACAATTCTCCCAAACTGGGGAAAGGCACTTTCTCGGACAGTCGTGCTATCGATTATACTCAACGGCGACTCATTCTCTGCCATCGCTGGTGTGTACGCAAGAAACATCTGCGCATGCGCATCAGGGTGCTCGAGCTCGTTTCATTCTTATTCGCCTCAGATCAAAAGATACCTTGGGTAAGGATGGTAGGTACTAGGTAGTAGGCAGGGAAACGGTTGGCCAAGAGGCGCACATCAGCTCATTGGCCAAAGCCACCGTCATCGAGAACGCCCTGAAAGCGGGCATCGGGTGCTCTTGGGGTGGGCATATCAGTTTAGTATGGATGTGATGTTCTACAAGCGATTTACCTGTCCCCGTGGCATGCATTCTGAGCAGGTTGGATGATTGGGCGCATAGCTGCCGCCCGGAAGGTTCCCATGTTTCGACGTCGATTGGCATGCAGCAAAGGAGGCCGCAACGGCTAGCCTGCGATTCGCCAAGATTGTCTTGTCTGGCAGGCCATGAGGGTGTGTGTGTGTGTCAAGGGCTCAGTGTTTCTTACAGTTGTGCAGGTAGTACCGTAGTAGATACCATAGTACTTGGGGCGCATTCGCATGCGCTGCACGAGAAGAAGCCGTTTCCCAGCTTGAGGGCACAGATAGACATGTACACCGCTGGAAACGATTGGGGGCGCAAGCTACACTCCATCCCTGTGTTTCCAGCCCTGGCCATGGTGGTGTTGTTGAGTGGTTCCAAGTCATTGGTGTCGTCGTTGTTCGCTAAGAATCGGACCTTGAGTGCATCCTCCACCATCGCACCTTCCACCCTCCCACACACGCCATCTGCAGACCAACCAGCACGACAAACCTCCTTGTAAGTCCTCAGTCTTCCCACATGCCCTCAAGTGCCTCTGGAACTGCCATAGAGCGCTTCTACGTACGCAATCTGCCATCGCGCATCCAGTCGCTGACCCGCTGCTGGCAGACAGCGGCGATATACGGACCCAGACCACAGGGCCTCACAGCCATCTGAGCACTACAGCCGGTATGTATATCTTCCAGCATCTCCAGGCGACCGCTTCAGCCCTCTTGTACGCCTGCGATGGCCGCCTTGCTGTCCGCCAGTGCGCTCGTGGTGGCCTCCCTGCAGGCCATCCAAGCGGCAGCGGTGACGACGCTCCAACAGCGCCCTACACGATGCGCCCCTTTCGAACCACTACCAGGACCATTGATATCCCCATGATCCTGCATCACAAGCCAGTTGCTGATAGGGTACATACCAGAGTCGACATTCGACATTCTTCCTCCGACCGCCTTTCGCACCAAGCCTTGCGACTCCGGCGGGATCGGTGCACCGCCCAACCACTCCTATACAATCCAAGCCTGTTCGCAAAGGCTTCGGAAGCATACCTAGAGCCCGATGAAACAAAATATGCAGGTCTCTAACCTGCTCGCCGAACCTCGGGTTGCTGGCGCACAACACTACCCGGAGAGCGTCGAGGAGCTCATTGCGGGCCGACCGCACAACGATAGACGTTCCGTTGTGGACTACGATATGATGTCGCAGCGAGATGACTCGAGCATGATGGATGTATATCCTAGCACGGAAACTGGTTCGGCGCATGATTCCTTGTCGCCCACAAAGCAGGTCCAGCCGAAGCATATTAGCTTTGAGCTGTTGCTACCTCAGTCGCCAGCCCACAAGGCACGTCTGCCTATGCGGGTCAACATATATCCTCATGATACTACCGACTCAATCATAACAACGGTTAAGAACTTTTATGGCCTCTATGAGCGCCGAGGCGTGATATTCGAGGACCGTCATGGCAATCTCCTGATTGCAAGGTACGAGAATTTCGAACATGGCATGGTTGTCTACGTGCGAGTCTCTCCTGAAGACCCGGATGCAGAGGATTACTCTCCCGATCCATGTCAGCAAACGGTGTCGCCGCGTCGTCCTCGTCCTCATCTAGACGAGGCCTTCCAAATGCTGCCACCCATGTCTCACCCCCAAGTGGGTCACAGAGCGGGATCCCGCGCTGCCCGCCAAAGTCACTCTCCACAGCCCGGCCGTGGGAGAAGGAGTGCGTCAGCCAGCAAGCGCATGCGGTCTTCTGCAAAGAGTAGAAACAATAGCTCCCATGGTAGCTTCGCAGACGCTCATGGCGACGGCTTCAGCGACAGCGATGGAGAACACTCTGTCTCTAGTTCGCGTCGTTCACGAAAAGAACCCCTTGCAAGTGCTGATATCAGTGTCGACAACATTGTCGAAGGCGGGCGCCGAAAGCGTGCAAAATTTGACAGCTCAGTAAGCGATGGCCTCAGATATCGTGCTTCGCATGACGCTAACACCGCTACCTTCTCCAGGAGCTTCCTCTGTTTGTCCCACCTCAAGTGCCCATGACGGCTTCCATGTCATCCGTATCTCCTCAAAGACGAGTTAGTGGAAACACTGCCGGATCACCCTACTCTGTCAACCAGCAGACATTTTCATACTCGCATCCGTTGCCTTCCCCACAAAGCTATGGGAACAACGACGGTGCATATATGCAAGGACTGGTCACCCCATACTCGACCTCCAGCGGACCAGCACAAGGCTACAGATCTCGTACTCGAGGCTCGGCACAGCATGCACACTACCGCCATTCTGGTGGTGGCATCTTGCCCACACCAGACACGACGCTTGCGAGCATTAGTGTCATTTCTGACGAAGACGTGGCACGCCAACTCATGCGTCTCGGCGATGCATCAAACTTCTCCACTCACGGCCGGACATCCACATCAACGCTTGACGACGCATTGAGTGGTAAGGCCGACGCAGCTTCCTCAAGCGACGACAGCTCGGATGGTACTGGAGATGAACATGAACTACCTCCCCTTCCGTATAACATGTCGCGCATGAACAACCTCCCGCGTGCTTATGAAGACGCCGAGTCCAGTGGCGAGGACTACGAGGATGACAGGGATGGATCTTTCAAAGGCATCAGCGACGACATGGCATCAGGCGAGCACAGTCATGAGCGGCTGCAACATGGTGTTGCCAAAGCCAGGTCCGTGTCAAGCAAGTCAGGCAAACCCAACAAAGCTCGCGCTCACTCCAAGAGCAAGAGCAAGGCCAATGGGACGAGCAAGCCACCCATGTCTCCAACCTCACTCCCTTCCCAGTCTCGCAAAGCTTCCAGCGCTTCGCTGAACTTCCAGCACCAACCCGGTGTGGATGAAGAAGATCTGTCGAGCAAGCCACGTTGCCAGCGCTGTCGGAAGAGCAAGAAGGGATGTGATCGTCAGCGACCTTGCCAGCGCTGCAAAGACGCAGGCATTCCCGCCGATGGCTGTGTCAGCGAAGACGAGGGCAACGGCCGGAAAGGTCGCTATGGACGTCACATGGGTGTCTCTGTCAAGAAGAATTCGATGGCCTCCTCGACGACGTCCATGGCACCGCCTCCAACACAGGACTATGGCATGCCGGCTGATGGGACGCACTCTGCTCTGATGAGTGCTTCCACGGACAAGAACAAGAAGCGGAAGAGGTAGCAAGAGCTACGAGTCCACACGAGGTTGCGCGATTGGGATGGCGTGTCTCCCGTATTTCCTTGGCGCCTTACCACAAAAACATGTCGCACAGACTTCCGCTCATTTGTTCCGTAATACAAAGACGGACTGCTTGGACTTTTGAATACTGGAATTTCTATCGCATTGCAATTGGGCCTCTGTTGTCTATCCTCACATTCATTAGCGTCATTACACTCGTTGGCGGTAGCCGAGAAATCAGATTTTCAGCAGACGTTTCGCGTTTGCGTCACGTAGGCGGGAGAGGGGCGTAAGGGCGACAAGGTGTTAGTAGGATGTGGGTGAGAGGGTGAGGTGAAGACGGAGTTAGTGGACGTTGTGCTGGTTGGGTAGACGGACGGAGGGACGGATGGATGGGTTGGTATACTAGGAGAGTTGGCTGTCTCAACTACATAAGCCTCTGTTGGCGCTGCAATTTCCCTAATTTCTGTCTTGAGTTTTGTCTTGAAGGATTCGGTGTTTGCTAGATAGAATTAGGCCACCAAATCGAGTGAATGTTCTATCCAACCAGCCTTTTCTTATGGATTGTGTAATGGAAACAAGATGGCGGAGGAAGGTAGGTGAAGGGGCCAAGGACACGACGACGGCAGAGTTGCAGAGGGCAGCTTCGGATGAGAGTCCGCCAGACTGTCGTCCAGGCAAGTTTGTTGCACATCTGACCTGTCGTCTAGCTGCGGGAAGACCCCTGACACCCGTGAGCAGTGGTTCGGACAATTATGGTTAGTGAGGGTGGCACGACAGCGGCAGAGGATACTACTCTCGATGGCAACCACAGTTCTTTTGTAACAAGTCTTGCGTGCGTTCATGCCATGGATACAGACATGGCGACACGGAGACAGTACTGCGACCATGTCAGGCGCGCAGGCTTTGTCGAGTTGTCGAGGGGCCCTGTTTGAGTAAGTAGAGTAGAGTAGATATATCGGGGGGAAGCATTGACGAGGGGACGAGATTGGATTGGACTCTACGATAGATAAGATACCTATTGTAGGGACGGGTAAGAGTGGGGCTGTGGCGCAGTCTCGGCGGATTGGCGAATCGGGCCTTGGCTGTGGCATGTGCGGCTTGTGCGGCGTGGCCCCGTAAGAGGCAAGAAGTGCCTGGAAATAAGGCGGACCGCGGGCGTGGCTGTTGATTGTGCCGTACCGTAGATCGTGTCAGCGCCAGGAGACACTGGCGCTGGCGAGGGAGAGAGGGGAGTCTTGTCTCCTATCTCACCAGACCAGACAAAGCAGATGGTGAGAGGCTGGAGCCCCCCTCTGCTCTCTTCTTCTTCTTGTTGTTGTTGTTGTTGTTGTCACGGCTGTTGCTGTTGTTCTTGTCGCTGCCGGCTCTGCTTTCTTGTTCCTCAGGCCTGCGACAGCCACACCTGAGGTCGCCGCAGATCCCCCTCCCCACCAAGACATGAGCAGCACCATGGCGGAGGGGCCGCAGAGCATCAAGTCGCGCATCGCTGCGCTGAACTTGGAGGACGTTCACGCCCCTGCGCCCGACACCAAGCCTACCTACACCTACGAATCTATTACCGCGACCAAGAAGAAGCCTCCTCCGCCTCCACCCACCTCGCGCCCGCCCGCCTACCAGCGCCAGCAGACGGTCAACAATCCGCCCATTCTTAGCAATGCACCCACTACGACGAGACTCCTGGCCAACCAGCCCATAGAGCCCAAGCCCGAGACACCGAAAATCTCACCTGCACTACCACCGCGACCACCGCCACGACCCTCCACCACACCTCGACAGACGCCCGCCCTGCCTCCTCGCAATCCCTCCGAGCGCAGCGTCCATCGACGCGAGTCCAACGACTCCATTTACACAGTCGCCTCAAGTGTATCAACCCTCTCCCTGGGCTCTGTGAAGACCAACGAGACCAGCCACGGCAATGGGTCCGTCTACCAAGTCCGCGCTCCGGCCTACGACCCATCCATGCTGCCTCTCCTTCCACCGAAGAAAGCGCCCGAAGACACAAGGCAGAGCAAGGCTACCTTGAATGCGATGAAGAGTACGAGAAACTATGTGCCCAGTCAGGCATTGCCACCGCAGCTCAAGACACCCGGTAAGTTTGATTCTGTGACCATCTGTGTGGATTCGCACAACTGTGACGCGTTCTACCACCAAAACTTCACCCCATACCTTGGATACAGCTAACAGTCAGGACAGACCTGCCTGCCAGACCTTCTCTACCACCACGACAGTCTACCACTCAAGAGCGATCTCCACAACAGCCACCTCTACCCAGCAGACCTGCCACAAATCATTCAAGCATGCCCAAGGCGAACAAAACGATCGCGCCACCGCCACGGCGCTCAGCCCTCGAAATGGGCTTCAACAACAAAGCGCCCACACCACCACCCGTCCCCTCAACCCGCCCGCCGCCAGTAATCTCAGACTCTGCCCCAGCATCCAGCGCGCCACCACCTATACCACTTGCTTCGCGGCCAGACCTGAAGGCCATAAAGGCATCGAAGCCAAAACCAGGAGCGCATGCATCCTGCCTCAAGTGTCGAGACTTTTCGGGACCCGACAACCACGCTGCCCAATTTCCTCGGACGCAACTTCCTTCTTCAGATGTTGGCTGGCTTGCACAACAATTATGCTCGCAGTTCTCGTCACCTACGGACAAAGCAAGATCAATCTTCACCTGGCTGCATCACAACATAGACTACGATGTCTACTCTTTCTTCAACAATACCATTCAACCGAGCACCCCTGAGAAGACCATTACCAGCGGCTTGGCGGTGTGTGAGGGCTATGCTGGTCTTTTTGCTGCTTTGGCACTCAAGGCTGGGCTCCAGGCAATGGTCATCTCCGGTGCCTCCAAAGGTTATGGGCACGAGCCGCTTCAGCCAGGCCAACCAATCCCTCCTTTCAAGACGACGCATGCATGGAATGCCGTCAAGATTGACAATGGCGAGTGGAAACTAATAGATGCCTGCTGGGGTGCCGGACATGTCGGATGTCAAATGAAGAATGAAGGGTATGCCTTTAGTTTTGATAATAAATCTCGCTACTGACAAGCTTTGTGCAGATACATCCGGTCTTTCAACCCATCCATGTTCACCATGGATAATGACGAGTTCGGCCTGAAGCATTATCCAAGCGAGGCGTCGCACCAATTCCGTAATGATGGACGAATCATACCGTACGAAGAGTTCATGACAGAAGACGTTGGTGGACGCGTTCAAACGTATGAATTGAACAATCACGGCATCGGCGAGCGCACGGTTTTCCCGGCAGATGCCAAGATCAAGATCAACGACCCTCAAGCTTCGTCAGTCGTCCGCTTCCAGTTCTCCAGCATATGCCCACACTGGGACAATGCTCGTCACGGCAAAGGCCCTCCCTATGTCATGCTGCTCAGCGTTGCCGGCCTAGACGGACGGCAACCGGGATATCTACCCTTCAACACCGATGGGCGTACGTGGTGGCTTGATGTGAATCGTCGTGAGCTTGGTGCACCTGGACAGAAGATCACAGTCAACGCCGTCACAGAGTTCAACAATGAGGACGCCAGAGGTCTGAGTTATGAGACATGGAACAACAAGAAGGGCTACTCGTGCAAGTTTGGTTGGGTGGCTTCGTGGGAACTGGTGTGAGTCGAGACTGACAGGTCTGCCTCGGTCAGATGGAGGGCTTCAAGAGTGGGAGGGAGGATAATTATGCGGTTTGTGGTACGAATACCCTAATTCGTCTTGTTTCGCCCTGCAGGTGATATGCATAATAGATGGCAATGATAGCAAAGATGATAGTGATGATGATGATGATGATGATGATGCATGCTTAGCATTGAACAAGCAATTCCCCAGGTTCTGCAGCGTGGTCGCGGTGGATCGCCGATAACTTACAGGATGATCTGCTGTCTTCCGGTCCCTGCATCTGTCCTGGTCTAGGCCTCGAAGGGCAATCTGCAGCCTTGCCGTTGGTGGCGGGACTAGCGTCTTGGCATACTGAGCGCTCGTCGAAATGTGTAAAGAACGACAAACGAACCCTCACCACCCACCTCGAACTTGGGGGTCGCCTTTCAGATCGACTTCTTTCTGCAATCTGGCACGCCTGCTTGCCTCTGTGCTTTGTCAACATGGCTTCAGACTTCGTAGGCCTGTCGGTCATGGTCATGCTGCAGAACCCGCCTAACACGGTTGTGTATGGCATGGTTGCGGCGATCAACCCTCAGACAGCCACCCTGACGTTGCATAATGGTAAGAATTCTTTTGTACAGCTTCCTATCATGTCTTGCAGCTAAATAAATTGCGTAGTGTTCTTCCCCGCCACTGGCCACCGCCTGAGCTCCTACAACCTCGAAGGGCACGCGATCGCTGACATCAGAATCAACGACGCTGCGCCGCCGCCGCAACCGCACCCGCCGCGCTCTGATCCTCCGCCGTACTCGCAGAATCCGCCGGTTCATGCGCAGCGAGCGCCAGCGAATGTTGGCCACCAGGCGCCTCAGGTTGTCAATCAGCCGTCTGCGCTGCCAGCAGGTCATGTCACGCACCAGCAGCCTCAGCCGCCAGCGCAGACGCCGAGCTTCGTGGATCCTGCCATCTTGAGTGTGGGGAAGCGATCTGTTGCTCCTTCCGCTGGCCAAGCTATAGCAGCGCCACCTCAGGAAGCTCCTGCGACACCTATGAAGCCTGTTGGCGGAGGACCCTCGGCGCCTCAGCCAAAGAACACTTCTTTCGCTACTCGTCCCAAGGAACGTCCTATTCGAAAGCCAAGTGCTGCGACCCTGGAGGGCCCCTTCTCGTCGCTTGATATACAGGATGCCGAGGAAGCTGACAGTGAAACGAGGGGTCCCCAGGCTTCGGTCCGCAGAGCAAGCATCAACAAGACGCGGACAGGGAAGCCAATGGACGACCCAAGCCCACAGAAGAACGAGGATGGAGCCAAGAAGACTCGTAGGGGAGGCAAGTCTCGTAAGAAGGAGCTCGCTGCCCAAGAGAGGAAGAATGGTGAAGGGTCAGCCGGTCCCGAGACGGTGAAGAAAGGGTACGTGCGATTGATTATGCAAACAGGTGACGTCTTGGACTCAGGAGAACTAACAACCTGCAGCAAGGGCAACGGCTGGAGGAACACTCCTATGCTACAAGACGCCAACCAGACACGGACACCAGGTGTGATTGGTGGCAGAGTCGGTCTTGCCGCCGCAAACGCCTCGAACCGCAAGACACGCCGCCAGCAGGCCCTCGAGGCGACTAATGGATGGGCTACCGAAGATGCAACTGATATTCAAGAGCTTCCAGAGTTCGACTTTCAGAGTAACCTCTCCAAGTTCGACAAGCGCACTGTGTTCAATCAGATTAAGAATGAGGACACGACCGCAGACGAAGATCGCCTGGTTAGCTTCAACAGGTTAGCTAGGCCTGGGACGCATGGTGGCAAGAACCTGCATCCGACGGAGAATGTGTTGGACCGGAAGCTGAAAAGCACAACCAACACCAGTTCCGAGGACGATTCAGACTTTGGCAGTGGCCGCAACTCGAGGCGCGCGATGTCGCGAACGTCTGTGAAACGAGCTCCAACCCGACAAGGCAGCGGTGTCCAAGCCGATCTCGAGATGACAGGTTCTGGTCTTCTGGCCCGTGGCAATCGCCCCTTCATCAACCGTCCCTATACCTCCTCGCACGCCACTGGTAGCCCACGACCAGGTCGCATCGCAACACCGCCCGACTCTCCCCTTGATGCCGCGTCCAAAGGATGTCTCCGCCTCATGCCCTCGAATCGCAAATGCTACACCATTACTCCTGGTGGCATGCTCGCCGTCGAAGAAGCCGCCGAAGTAGACTTTGGTCTCACCGAAGACCTGATCGCCGAAAACTCCGGCCGCGGCATCGCAGAAGTAGCACTCACAGCCATCAATCCCGGCGGCCGCCGTCTTGCCAAAGAAAACCCCAATGCCCAACCCGTCATTGTGGTCCTCGCCGGTAACCACCGTGGCGGCGCGCGCGCGGTGGCAGCAGCACGACACCTCTCCCAACGCGGACCCAAAGTCATGGTCGCCCTCCTCGGTTTCGAACGAGGCGCAGACTGGGACAAGGACGTCCGACGCCAAGTCGACCTCTTCCGCAAACTAGGCGGCTCCGTTCGCGCATGGCGCGAGACAGAAGACGCCCTCAAGCGCCTTCAAGCCCCCCCCGAACTCATCATCGACGCCCTCCTCGGCCGACACAAGGAATTCGACTCCCTCGGCGACGAGGACCGCCGCACCGTCCTCACCATCGTCGGCTGGGCGAATAAATCCCGTGCCGCCTGCCTCGCCGTCGAGACACCCAGTGGCGTCGGCGGCTCGACGGGCGAAGTCGCCATCCTCGAGGGCGAGCCGTTGGAGGTGCGCGCAAAGTATATCGTCTGTCTGGGCGCGCCGCGCACAGGCTTGTTGAAGGCGCTGCAGAATGGGACGGGCAGGGATCCCGAGTGGCTCGTCTGGGTCGTGGATGTGGGTGTCAATAAGGCATGGAGAAATGCGGGTATTGGTGGGGGTAAGGGCGTTCGGTTCGGTGAGAATTGGGCGGTCCAGGTTCGGTATTCGGAGGAGTGATTGAGTGTCAAGACGAGGAAGAGGTGGGGGGTGTTTAGTTTTTTTTTTGGTTTGTTTCTCGGCCAAAGACGACGACGACGATGATGATGCAGCATTGCGTGGGCGTTTTTAGTCATCTGTTTTCTTCTCTATTATTCCTTTTGGGATACAACACTGGTAATTGGATTTTCGGGGGGGAGCACACGAGCATGAATCAGGTACACAAGGGAAGAAGAGCCTTTGGGGTTGTATCCTATGGCAGCATGTTCTTTAGTAGGATTATATAGTATACCACCATGGAACTACACATGACTGCCTAATCTCTTTTTAACCCTGTGTGTTCCCAAATATGTCGCTTGTACATGCAACAAACAGTATGGGAGCTCATGCGGAAGCCCCCCCCCCCTTTTTTTTTCGGTTCCAGGACCATCTCTTCGTCGTACGGATTTCTCAACCGCACACGTCCCTGTTGCCACGTCAATCTAACATCCTAGCTGGAACCTGGCCTTGTGTTTGGTTGGCGGAGACATTCAAGTCCATCCGTCCACTCGAGCTGCTTTCATCGTTGTAACTCTGCCTTCTCTGCGCCTCCCTGCACCCAATCCTACGCGTACGGCTCCCGCTTCCAGCAGGGCGCGTCTGACGCGAGTCCCTTTTTGTGAATATATGTTTCCAAAGGGCGAATTGTGCTTGCGGTGGCATGTCTAGTGCAGACTGTTTTATGGGCCGTGTTCTTGAAGGAACAGTTCGCGTTTCTGGAAGGGAGTGTTCGAGGCTCAATTTTCGATGTTTGAAATGTCTGGCGTGGGCCCTCGTTCTTGGGGAGAAAGGGGTTGGTTGAGAGTGATCACATTGCGATAGGAATAAATGGATATTGGGGTAGCTAGGAACGTGCGTGGTGGTAGTTGCTGTTGCATAATCACAGGTGTGAATCTGTACTGCTCCACTCACTATTGTTCTCGACAGCCTTGAGGAAACCGCACACCCTCCTAACCAGGTCTTGCACGACCTCTTCTGGGTCGCCGTCAAGGTTGTGGTGTGCACCTGGTATCACGCCCCCATCATCGTCGTCCACTAGACCACCGCCCTCGCGAATGATTTTGGTCCAGCGCTGTAGGAGCGCGACTTTGTCGACCGTGGCAGGGACATACGGGTCATCGGAGCCCAAGAGGAAACAGACGGGCGTTGCTCTGGGGAACTTGCCAAACGTCTTTGCAAAGTCTTCGTCGGACAGATCGGTGGAAAAGTAGTCGTCATCGCCGCCTTTTGCTAGGAGCGAATGCAAGCGGTATGCTGAAATGGGTCCGCCAAACTCCTTGACGACAGGGTTGCCTTCGCTCGCCATGGCTTCCTTGCCTTTGCCTTGGTCAATCATTTCCTTCGCCTTTGCCACAACCTCGTCATATTCGCCCTTTGTCAGCATATCTTCCCAAGCCTGACGATCAGACACGCCGCCTTGCAGAATCACACCATCCAATCCAGGACGCTTGTCTGCATCTTTGCCAACAACATACTCCATTGCGTCTTGACAGCCAGTCGAATGACCCATGAGCACCACTTTCTTGCCGGGGCGCAGGTCTTTGAAGTATTTGACGCAGGCGCCAATTTCACGAGCATCTCGAGCAAGACTGCTGGTTCCCCAACCTTTGTAAGAGGAGCTGATGAGCACTTCTGCTACGACCCAACCGCTTGGTAAAGCTGCAGCGATTGACGTGGGATAGGGTACCGTCAGCAGGCCATCGGAGAGGCCGCCTACCCAGAGCAGCGTATTCGAAGCGTCCGTGGTGGATGTGGCGGGTGGAGACGCATGCTCGAACGCGACATGACGAGTGGAGTACTTGTGCATGACACCAGGGTGGGCCATGATCGCAATGACGTGGTGGGGGCGGGCTCTTTCAGCCTAGGTGGTACGCTCCAGATAGAATCCTAAGAGTGATGAGGGGTGTGATGACTCCTATATACGGGAGAGACTGCTGCACAGCTGTGTTGTTTGAAAGATGGAGGTCTAATCAGAAAGATCTTATCAGATGGTGGGGATGTAGCTTCCCAATGACGGACGTTTCCGCTGTCGCGCCATATCTATTCGGGTATAGTAACTGCTGCTTGGATGTGAAACATAATTTAAGTGCAGACAATGGTCCAACGTTCTTTTTCTAAAATCCCTGACCGTGCATAGTGCCGTAGCCCATGCCGCTATATGGTCCCGCTCGAGTTGTCCAGCCGCCAAAGTTGTCCACTGAGACATCGTTCCAGAGATACAAGTCACCATTCTGAAATGCTGCAGAGAAGTCGCCCATGTCTGGAGTGAAGGTGGGAGAATCAGTAATAGGCTGCGCCGGTGTGGAGGTGTGCAACGGAAGATCGTTTGCGTTCCACGTCGGATACGTCGCGCTCATGGGAAAGCTTGGGAGGGCCGCATCCTGTCGAGCCATGGGCGGTTGTTCGGAAGAGACCATATTGTAGTTTTTGGGCTCTGCAAAGAGTGGTGTCTGATTCCCAACCGCTTCAGCACTCTTGTCTGCTATCTCGGTCTTTCGACGTTTCAGTTGTCGTCCTTCTCTTCGCCATTCCTGATACTCGTCCCACCAGCCTTTGAGCTTCGCTTCCAAAAGGAGGTTCCAATGGCTTGGATTTCTACATTTTTGCGGGCCTATGGCTTCGGCTGTCTTCCTCAGCACCATATCAAGGTAGGGGCCAACCTTCAGACTCTGGCTCTCAAGTAGTTCGCTCATGTCTTCGTCGGTGCCAACGGCGTAGTCGGCCTTCATGAGCACGACCAGCGAATATACGGCTCGAACGTAGAGCACATTTGGTGCCTTTCGCATCTCCTCCACGGGGTATGCTGCAAAACAGTCCAGAATAGTCTGTGCTTGGCTAATGCACTTGGTGGTTGCGTTGATCTGCAAAGCCGTGCGTGATAACAAAGACTCTGGCTGAACACAATCATCATCCAAAGCGGGGAGTGAAATGTGTCGGTTTCTGAATTCAATAACGTCGTATCTACCTCCATCCATACCAAATTCCCACATCGACAACATGTTCTGGTGGAATTCAATGTTCAACATCGCTGGGAGGGCATTAGCATGCAGAGACATCAACATGGGGAAGGGAACTCACGAGTCATCACCTCATCTGGTATAGACTTTCTCCAATCTTGCATTCTCCGATCGAAGATGCGCAGGATCATTTGCATTCGTAGTTCTGAGAGGCTGAAGCTTGTACTTGCGTCGTCGAAGCCGAATGCCGTATTTGCTTCATCTGCGATCCTCTGCAGTTTCAGTTGGGCGACGATACGCTTGTCTTCCAGAGACTTCGACTTCTGTAGCATAACATAGCACTCCTCCATCCAGCTGTTAAATAGCAAGATGTTCGGCCGCTTGAGTCGCATGGAGAAACCTGCACCAATTATGTATAGAAGTAGTACAGTACGAACGTGTTCCAACAACTCCTCGGGTGACGAGATCTTCTGCAGTGATCTGATGGCACGTTTAGGTAATTGCTCATGAGTCCTTGGTTTGGAGACAAGCCCTAGTTCGAGCGCCATCGAGGCTGCCATGTTCACCCATTGGTAGATCTGTAATTGCCCGGGAGTCTTCGAAGGCGAGCAGTATGCGACAGTCACCAAGAGAGCCTGGATTGCCTGTACAGACTTTTCACCTCTGATAAAGGCAGACCGCGCATATAGATAGACCGTCTCCTCGTGTAACGTATCGGATAATGCAGAGCCTTTGGAATGTGCTGCTGCTGCCATCACAGCGTGAAATAGCGCAGGCTTGTTTTCTCGCAAATCGAAAACGGTCCAATGTTTAGGAATTGTTATACCAGGACAAGCATCCGTGAGCTCGTTCCGCCATATGCTCATTAATTCTTCTGCCATCTCTTCGGAGATGACTTTTCTGTCGATAATATCCTGCTCGACAGGTCCGAGCAAATCCTTGATCTCGGTATTTTCAGCCGGTCGAGCCGTTGGCGCTTTCTCAACGGGCGCCGTTGGCCACGCATTAGGCTTCGTGAATGTTGTGGTAGCTGCGCCTGAATGCGATTGAGTATTTAATGGCGTATTTGGCTCAGTAATTGCCTCATGCTCATCTGACTCATCATCTGAGCCATGATCGTTGGTAACATTTGGCGACTTGGTGCCTGTTTTCAGGAGACTACGCATCTGTTGTATCTCCTTTTCCAGCTCTGTAACTCGCACATCTGTTCTTTTGCGTTGCCGTCGCTTGGCTGGTGGCACAAAGATGCAAGCTCGGCCGGCTTTGGCGCATCTTTGGCATTTCGTTGATCCTGCGTCTGGATTAACCAGGCAGCGAACCTTGGAAACTCGACATGCTTCACAGGCCCGGTTCAAAGGTTGATCCTGGGCTTTCGTCGGTGTCACCAGTTCCGGTACCGGTACTCCGGCGGGACAGTTTGAGGTTTCCCAGATGCCCGACCCGTTGCGATCGCTGCTTTGATATGCTTGGTCTGGCATGACGGCACCAGGATGTAGGTTGGACAGAGTCGTCGGGTAGAGTGCACCTCGGCTGATTGTGTCCAAGGCCGCCTTGCGCTTGCGACTCACGTAACCTCATCGTTGGCCACCCATGGGTGCTACAGGCGTGATATGTAGTCAAGCCGATTCAATTGCAACAGTCAGATAGGCGTTGTTCGGGACGTATACGCATCCGTTGCGCATTAGCAGTGGTGTTTTTCTACCATATAGGTCATCCTTGAGATGAGAAGATATTGATGACGAATGCTGGGTGCCTTGAGGATGCGGCCATGCAGGGTCCATATTATGCGTTAGAGCCGATTAGGAAAGGCGTGTGAATCCTCGTCTTCTATTTATATCGGGTGATAAGAGGCGACTCCTGGACAGAGTTGGAAAAATATACGCTACTTCATCCATGACACTCTAGCCATTTTATCTACTATGTATTGCGAGACCATTGTCGAACTTGGGGTAATGCATGCCTAAAAGCAATTATTGCCATCAACTTCCTATGCGGATTCTCTTAGAGGCTTCGTTGAACCAGCAGATATGAGTACACTCACAATCTCGGTTTAACATGGATTTTAATCACAAGAGGTGGGGGGCCGAATTATAAATACACAACGCCCAACCGTCCATGTTGAATTTACATCATAGGGAACATGATTCGTTACACTAGGATATCACCACTGCTACATGAAAAGGGACAGGACCTCTCCTCTGGCTGAAACCGCAGATATCTATACATGGCGCACTCTCTTTCGAAGCGCTTAACATAGCCAAAGCCAAAACTTCTCGAACAAGTTGCGAGGAATCTGTTCAGGCCATAACTCAGCATCGAGAGCCGTTTTACCGGACTGAAGGTCCGCCGTAGCAGGATCGACCGCCTTGGTACGCTTGAAGAGCTTCCAGAAGCCGAAGAGAAGGAAGAAAATCGGCACACCAACATAGGCAGTGAAGAAGCTGGTAAGCTGGTCAGGGCCCCAGGGCGTCTGAGTGAAGACCTTGAAGCCATTGAAGAAGATGATCAAGGCAAAGTAGCTGAACGCGATCCATGCCGTGTACGGCTGCCACACGCTTTTAAACACTAGAGTGTTGCGATCAACGCCTTGTGCAAGAAGAGCCTTGCGGAAGCCAATATAGGTGTAGCAAATCGAGCACCAGGTGAAAAGCTGGGCGATGGTGGTGAGATTCTGGAACCACAGGAAGACCTTATTCGCTCCAGTACTGACTGACATGTAGGTTATCAGACCAATAGATGCCGTGATGACAACGCAGTAAATCGGAACACCGCCCCTGGTGCACTTGAGGAGGAACTTAGGGGCCTGGCCGTTCTGGGCAACACCGAAGAGGTAACGCGAGCCAGTATACAAGAAGGCATTGCCGGAGGAGGTAGCCGATGTCAATATAACAGCATTGACAATATGAGGCAGGACAGGGATACCAGCATTCTTCATGGCGATGACCCATGGCGATGACTGAGCACCCTTGGCACTCTCGTCGGTAAGCTGCGGGTCAGATGAACTTATAGTAACACCAATGATGAAAGATCCCAGGACATAGAAGAACAGTATACGCCAAAAGACACGACGTACGGCCTTGGGGATGTTCTTGCGGGGGTTGGCTGCCTCGCCGGCTGCGACGGCCACCATCTCAACACCACCGTATGAAAAAGCAGCGTTGACGAGGGTGGACCAAAGACCAGTGAAACGTCCAGTGGCACCCGTTCCGACGTACTCCTTCATGGCACCCTCTTTCCAGTATCGGAAACCCCTGCGATCACGATCGGGAGCACCGCCAAGCATGATGACAAAACCAGCAAGAAGCAATCCAAGGATGGTGATGATTTTGATAGAGGCAAAGATGAACTCAGCCTCTCCATATATAGAGACTGCGAAGATGTTCAAAACGACGATGGTAATAAGAATGAGACTGATCCAGATGGCACTGCTTCCGGCCTTAGTAAATATATCTCAGCACAGTACATGCGACGATGACCTTACGGATTATATTTCTCTTCCTGGTCCCAGAAAGACACGAGAACGGCGGCAGCGGAGACTTCAGCACAGAGTGTGATGGCACATTGATACCAGTTGTTCCAGCCCACAGCAAAACCAAGGGCAGGATCGACATAACGAGCGCAGTACTGTGGTATAGCTGAAGTTTGTCAGTCTAGATTTTTGGCCGCGCAAGTCGCGCAAAACTCACCACCAGGAAGGGGTAGCCACGTGGCCATCTCTCCAAGACACTGCATCATGGCGAAGACAGCACAGCCAGTGATGGTGTAACCGAGAAGGACAGAGACAGGACCAGCGTTGGCAAAAGCGTTTCCAATACCAAGGAACAAGCCCGTTCCGATTGTTCCTCCAAGAGCAATGAACTGAATGTGACGGGACTTCAGACCACGACGGACATAACCCATCGATTCCGCAGTCTCTATGTCTCCGTACAAATCAGCAGCCTCACTTAAATGATTCTTGACAGCATCAGAGAGGCCATGTTCGGTGGGCGACGTAACGTTAGCAGCAACCGGCTGCTTCTCATAGTCGAGCGACATATTGCTGTTCAGCCCGAAGTTGACAGAGTGAAAGGGTTCCTGAAGGGCATACGACTGTGGCGTAACCTTATCGTCGCTTGGTAGTAAATGGGCTAGAATCCGCAGTGTAGTCAAAAGGAAACACGCATAGGCACTATCGAACAAGGCGATTTCTCTAGATGAGAGAAGGCCGCTTGAAAGGACTAGGGCTACCTTTATATTGGGATCCTTTACCAACGGCGGTGATCGCATGAAGAGGTCCATTCGGTATCTCCCAACCCCAGATCCAACACAACGCCTAGCCAGGATACCCAAGCCGTTGGTCCCTAAGGGCTACTAGCAGTGTCCGTATCGTCTGTAGTCAGAGCTATAGGATGTTCGATATTGGCCGCAGTAGCAGATGATAAGCTAGAGCCGCCACTACGTTACCACTGTAAGACGAACAATTGCCTCATGAAACGCAGCGGGAGCGCTGAGCGCATGACAAGGGTGGTACCAGTAAGCTGGGGAAGTGTTGCCACTACTCACGATCCATGGGATGACAACCAAGCTTTCCGATTGTGTAGCCGACATGGGGTAACAGTGAGATGCCACAGGACACAGATGCTTGTGTTCATATTCGCAACACATCCCGAGGTCTCCTGTTTCCATCTCATCGACAGCATGGCACCAGTACATCCCAACGCGACTTGCCGTGACTGCCATGCCGGTACGGCATCAAACACGCGACAGTGGTACCTCTGGGCCTGTACAAACGAAATCTCTCAGGGCACAAGAGTCGATGGTGTGATTTGGCATGGAGACAAGCCTCACTTGGCTCCCATAGAGAGTTCTTGTTCACGCGAGTTATGCCTGAACAGGCCTAGTACGCTGCAGACCACTTACCAGTTATCACGACTATCACTATAGCGCTTCTCGAACGAACAAACAGCTGCATCGGTCGCTCCGACTGATAAGGATCGCCTTTGGAACACATCTTGCCGTGATTCTATACCCAGAACTGATGGTACGCTGTGCCGCTCACATCTGTACATGCCCTGGTGAGCGTATGGTATCCTTCTCTACGATTGGAGATGGAGGACTCAACTCAGATGATCCCCAACAGATACAGAGTCTCTGCATCGCAAACCCCTCTGGGACTCTGGCCTAGGTGTCGCGTGAGCCGTCCGCTCATCTACCAGTGAGCACACGGCTTACTGTAACACTCGCCCAACTTCCAACCCCGCCGCCGTTATCCTAGTTCATATCGGTCTCTCTCCAGGACCGGAGTGCTGCCATTTGCCCTATCTAGTGTGGGACCTGGGTCTGTGCGATATTGCGCATTGGAAAACTGTGGTCACTACGGCGAGCAACTAAAAAAAGTCTGCTATAGCATGAATCGCCTTGGGTCATCTTGTCCATCTTGAAGGCCCTTCATCCGAGGGTACTAACTGCCATTACACATGGCTAGGCTGGGTGTACTGCGTTAATCGCGCATGCGGTGAGTGGTTTTTCTTTTCATCTGAGAGCAAAACCGACGCTAGGTTCTGTACTCGGCAGCACATATAACGGACATGGCAAAAGAAGCGAATATTGCTTGAGTTGTCTAGTTGCGCAAAGCAGTAAATTCTGAAGGAAAAGTGATGCAATTGCCGACCGAGAAATTACACATGGTGATGAGCATGCGAAGTAAAGATTTTTTTTACCATACGTACATCCAAAGCTTTCCTTTGATGTGAAATCCCCACAAGTTGCAATGTGCTGAGGCGCTAATACTGGTATGGTGGGAAGAGGATCCAAGAAACAAACATGATCTTCAAGGCACAGTCCTCCCCACAACCACACCCTATCCAACTTCGAAAAAAACTTGGTTTCTCGGCCGCAGGGTTGCACACACGTCCCTTCACAGCCAAAGATGCGTTAACGCCACCTCCACTGACGCTTGTGGCGTTTCTCTCACACCTGCACGAGAAAGTCTTTGGCGACGTCTTAGGCTCTGAAATCATAGCTGCTATGGCAAACCCCTTGTCGTATTAGAACTAGTTTTCCTTGATCAATCGAACTCCTGGTTTGCAACTTATCAATGCTTATATGCACACAGTGTAACACATGTCCAAAATATCTACCATCTCGAGCTTTAGCCATGTACATATTCTACACGCATCAACGTCTCTTCCCACCGTCAATATCATATTCCCACAGCC